TTTTGCTTGGGGCGGCAAAAAAACCTAGAACCGGCCCTGTTTCTCGGTGAGCTCTGCAGAACTGGCAGGTGCAATGTGCAATCACTAGTCCCAATGCCAGTCTGCCTGATGTGATAGATCTAAGAAAACCTCTTACAATGTCAGTTTCCCCCGTCAGCACTGCTCAGATTTGAAGAGGCAGAGCTCACATGTCCGAATATGCTAAATTAAACAAGCCTAAGTTTGTTCACCTTCGAGCATGTTGTAACATCTGTTTCTCCAGGCTTTTACTGAGGGGGTGGGTTAACTATGTTGAGAGAAGAGGGGTTTACTCTCGGTATGCAATGTTTTTTCTTTGTTGGCATTGCTTCAGCCTAAATTCTTTGTAATAGATTCAGTTGCACCTAAAGCTCTAGGAGGTTGCGTGCTCATACATCAGAATAAATCCACAAAAATGGAAGGAAGGATGGTCCAGCAGTTAGGGCACTAGCCTCGCCCAGCCATTAGGAGACCTGACTTCAATTTCCTGCTCTGTCACAGACTTCCTGTATGACCTTAAGCAAGTCACTTAGCCCCTCTGTGCCTCGGTTCCCCCTCTGTAAAATGGGGATAATGGTACTTCCCTACCTCAGAGGAATGTTGAGAGCATGAGTATGTTAAAGGTTGGGAAGCACTTTGAGATCTGCTGATGCAAAACTAGGTATTATTAAATAAGAAGCTCAAATTTTCCTAGAAAATGTGTCTAGAGGAGAGCGAAAAAGAAAAGTGAAACAGAGCTTTGCTACGAAGAATCCACAATGTTGCTCATACTCACAACAGCTTTGACTTTCTCTACACAATGGTTTTTACAAATGTTAAAAACCCAGTGAACCTGCTTCTGATTTCAATTCACCAGTGTAGAGAAGTAACTCTATTGAAGCAAATGGCGTCTGGGCATAAAACCAGTGTATGCAGCAGGAAAATCAAGCCCAATAACTTGAGCTATGTCTCCACTACATTTTTTTTCTTTACAATTTCCCACCGAGGCAATTCCACTGGTGGTAGCAAGGGTCGGAGTCTTACCTCAGACCAGCAGCTTTGCCAACTCTCATGATTTTACCACGAGTCTCAATAACTGGTGTTTTTCTTCAAGCCCCAGCTCTTGGAAGCTGGTGATTATATGAGAATCTCAGCTTTCATTTTTTCAAAAGTATGTTTTTAGCCTTTGTGGTTTCAAAGAAATTCTTGAAAACATGAAATGAGCACACGTAAGCACTCAGAAACCAAGTACCGGTAAATAAAAAGAGCCCAATGTATTATTTTTTTGAAAAAAATCATGATTTTTAAGTCAATCTCATGATTTTGGGGCCTGACTCGTGATTTTTGAATGCTGGACTAGTGGCACTTTATCCACCATGTCATCTGAACTGGCTCAGAGGAGGTCTAGAAATCATGGTAGTCAAAATGTGGGTGGCCATGGGCACCTTGTCTACACTAGAGCACACATGAAATTTCAAGAACCAATGTCTAAGCTACTCAATCCAAGCTTACACCTGAATCATGTGCCAACACACTATGGCTGCCCAGTGTGGATGTGACTGTTAAAAAAAAAAGTGGTTTAGCCCAGGTAGGAGGCCAAACTACAGTCCATTATTGAATTCTGTTCTATGAGGGCTTGTTCCCACCCACACAGGCTGCCAAATTGTGTTAGATCTGGGGTCTTGTCTACTACCAAATTCACAGATAGCTCCAGCCATCGCCCTCCTTTGCCCACTGCCCATCCCAGCATGGAGACAGGTACACTGGGATTCTCTCAGGAGTCACTCCACCCACTTTCTGACGCCTTTACACTGCTGGAGTGGCACAAGGCGTCCTGGTCCACGACTGGGGGGTCTACCTGCTATAGAGACTATATATATATATATATATATATAAAAATTAATAATGGAGGCAAGAAGCTGACTCTAGGTCTTTCATGGTCTCCTGTGAAGCATCTCAAAGGGGCTCCAGCACTGTCAAATAAAATAACTATAAACAATGTTATTTACTGACTGTCTTGTTTGCTGGCAAAAAAGCTGAAGATGAAGCAATGAGGGAGCTTCACTCCCTGGCCCATATCATCCAGATCAGCCCTGTAGCCTGCCAGCTCAGGCTGCTGGGATCTCAAAGCATCCTTCATGCCAACCTAAGGCTGTTTCGACACCCATGGCCCCTCCAACTCACCCATGCGAGTGCAGCAAAGGTGAAATGTTTATCAGTTGGACTGAGATAAGGTAACCATTGAGCAGGACTCAGGCTGTGGGCACAGGCACTTGTGAGCAATACTTTTTGTAGGCCCTACAGAAATAAAACAGGCAGCACCCTTCATTGCCCTGAGCACTGCATTAAAAATATCTAAACAGCTGGGGTTTCATTGTGGTCTGTACAGCTCGCGTTCAAAGGGGGCTCAGGCTCTCGGCCCCCTAGTTGATCCGGGCGCGTTCCCGCCCCTTGCCTGGCGCGTTCCCGTCACTCAGCTGCTGCTGCGAGGGAGCGCGCGGCCCCTGCACTAGCGCCTGCCCTGGAGCGGAGCGTGCGTATCTCTCCAGCCGGGCAGCGGTGACTGAGCGGGGAGTGACAGCGCGGCCATGCACAGCTAGCCCCCGCCCGCTCGCCCAGCTGCCTCCGTTACCCCCGGGGCAGCGTTCCTGGGCACCCCCGGCCAGCTGCTCGGAGTGGCTCAGACACACGCAGGGGCTCAGCGGCGTGCCACGGGGCGCCCCAAGGATGGAAGGGGGCGCGTATGGAGCGGGCAAAGCCGGGGGCGCCTTCGACCCCCAGACCTTCTTCCGGCAGCCTCACACCGTCCTGCGGGTGCTCTCCTGGGTAAGGGCACGAGGCGGGGGCCGATCCCTGGGGGCAGGCAGCGGGCTGGGGGGGAATGCCCTTCCCCGGCCGCGCTCCGCAATGAGCCGCGTGCCCTGCGCTCGGGGGTCCCCGTTCCCCCCCCACACACACACCTGCCGGGCCCCGCAACCCCCCCCACGCACACCGGCCGGGCCCCATCGGGAGGGGTGGGGGGGGCGAAGCTGGAGCCGGTGCTGCAAAGTCACCTCTGCTCAGGCAGAGGCGGCCGCCCCGCTGGGAACCCCGGCTCAGGTGGCGGCTCCGGTGCCGGTCGCGCGTGTCCCCCGCTGCGGCTGCCCGAAAATGGGGTGTTTCTGCAGCGGGGTGGGGGCAGAACCCGGGAGCCGAGAGGAGGGTGGAAAATGGGACGTGATCCAAACACAATCCCGCGGGGGGATCCCGTCCGGGCGCGGGGCCCCTCCCCAGGGTAGGATCTGGTGCAGTGGGGGCGTCCCCGTCCCCCCGGGTCAGTCAGTGTTGTAGGGACATTTTCAGGGAGGAGCTTGTTTGTTTTGTTGAAAAGGGGGACCTGGAAACACTGGTGTCTGCGGGGGGGTGGAGATGATGATTCTGCACGGCAGCCCCTCTGCCTCGCCAGCCCGTCTAATTCTGTCTGCTCGACTTGCTGCTGGAGACAGGGAGCAGCGAGGGAGGGGGCTTGTACGAGATTACGCGGGGCGGGGGGGAGCGTGTTGTCCTTTCTCGCCCGCCCGGCTCCCTTGCCTTCTTTCCCACTCTGCAATGTGTTGTGGTTCTGTGCAGGAGGGGGTGGGACGGCTCGGTGAGAGGGGGGAGGGGAAGGGTCTTTTCGGCCTCTTTTCCTTGCTACGGTGGGGGGAGGAGGGTCTCTCATCTTGTAACGCTGATCCCATGGCTGTAGCTCTGTGCGGGAAGGTCATGGGGATTAAGGGAGCGAGCTGCAAACACAGAGCTGGAGAGAGAGATTGCGTTAAGAATGGGGTGGGGGGCAGTGTGAGGAGGAGAGCGTGAAGAGAGAGACACACACACACACTAAGGTGGACAAGCATGAGCCTGAGGTGCCCCAAAGCAGCTCCCTGTTTTTGTTTTTTTAAATGTATATGGAAAAAATGGAAAGGAAAGGGCAGATAGGGGGTGGGGGGGACACGGGTTGATCGGATTGGCCAGCCTGTTGCTGGCACTAACATCCCATAGCCAGATCAAGCTCTGTGCCGGTGCAAAGGAGGTGCTCCGTCTGCTGGTGTGACCAAAGTGGCACAGTCCATTTCTGTCAAGGAAGATGCCCCTTCAGCCTGATTGCAAAGCCTAGCTGCACCCTGAGATCCCTGGGGATATGATTAATATGGTCAGTTGGTCTGTCGGACCGGGCCTATGTATGGTACAGTACAGCGTGGTTGTTACTGCGGGACGGGGAGTTCAGTAAATCTCCTGGCGCAAAGCTGCTATGGAAATCCATTATGAAGTGATGGATGCACACACACACACCCCCATCGCCTGGCTTGGGGAAAGCAGCAGAGAGTGTTCCAGCCAAGGATGATGGACATGATGTGACCTAAAAGGATTTTTCCAACCCTAATCTCTGGGACAGAATTTCCTCTCCCTTTTTTGTAATACCACGACTTCACTCTAACACTGCAGGCAGGGTTCTGGCTTCCCAAAGCCAGGAGCGAGAGAGAACAAGAGATGGTCTCTGCTGTGCACTTCTTTCTGCTCCATTGTTTCTTGTACTCTGGCGGCTCCTCCATGAACTCCCATACTTGTTCCATAATGACTGCCCAGCCATGACAGACTACCCTGCATTTAGCATTCCCTTGGATGCCCTACTGTTTCCACACAACCACCAGCTCTGTCTCCTTGACCTTGACAGAGGATGGAATGGGATTGACCCTATGCAGAACATTACAGACCTTCACTTAGCTATAGAAACAAATGTCCCACTGCAGAACATTGGCAGTACCCTGGGGTCAGCATCCCAACAAGGACAGCCTGCTTGTTAGTCACGGGGAGAAAGGGGGTGTGCTCCTTTTTCTCCCCCTTACTTCATTTTCTTCTCACCAGTTCCTATTGGCCCATTTTATCCCCTTTTTAGCGCCTCTCCCCCAGTGCTGCTGAGACAGAGCCTTGAGTTCACGGGCTCACCCAAAGCATTTGTAATGATATGTTGTGTATTATTAGGGTTTATTGTGAAGCACCTGAGATATGCCTGGCACTTTACCATCACAGAGTAACACCTGGCCCCATAGGTGTTGGAACTAGGGGTGCTGGGGTGCTGCTGCACCCCCTGGCTTGAAGTGGTTTCCATCATATCCAGGGTTTACAGTTTGGTTCAACGGCTCTCAGCTCCCCCACTATACAAATTGTTCCAGCACCTCTGCCTGGCCCCTGCCCCATAGAGCATGCTATCTAATTTCGATGAGTGCAGTACACACCTTTAAAGGATGAGGCACAAGAACTCAGGTAGGTTGTAGAAGATGGCGTATGTTGTTTAACGTTGAGAAGAAGATGAGCGCCTGGTGACAGGGTCTGACACACAGGAGGCTTAGGCCAGTGTAGAGAGGTTGGCTTCACTAGAGTGAGACTCTGGGCACTGTCAGGACACTGGTGTGAGGGAGCTCATGTTTCCAGACTGCTGCTGGTGATAGGAAGTAGCAGCTCCCCAGTACGCACGTAAGGATGCTTGTTGTAGCACGTGGGCAGAATCTTTCTTTCTTTACACCTGACAAAAAAATTAAACCAATTTGGTGCAGGCAATAGGTGTTGGCTCAACAGTCCTGGAGAACAGAGTCCTCTACGTTTTCCCCAAACCTGCTTACCAAGGGCAGTAACCACTCAAACCTCCCCCACACTGCTCTCCATCAACATGCCTTAGCTTGGAAAAAGCAGCACCTACTGGAGCGTGGAGGAGTTAATTGTACATGATCTGTTCAGTCCCTAGCCTCCTTGTGAAGACCCCCCCCCCCACAAGGGGGCCAGTGGAGATGGGGGGACTTGTCCATTGACAGCCAGACTGAGACAACCAACTCTGTTCACACAAGCCATGCTACGCATAGGGAAATTGGGGCACAGAGAAGTTAAGCAACCTGCCCAGCATCATCCAATGAGCAGGCAGGGCTAAGAATAGAACGCACAGATTCTGAGTCTCAGGCCTAGATCACTAGGTCACATTGACAGGAGTTGTATTTGTATTTTACCTTAGAGGTAAAAGGCTTTGTCTCCCCTTCACACAGACTCTGTCTTTTTGTTCAAAAAAAATCTCCCACTTTTGCTAGTACTTGTGCAGTTTCACCTCCAGCTGCAACAGTAGGAGTCCTAGTGTAGATGAGGCTTTTACCACCATGTCACGTAGACTTGTTCTTAGTAGGCAGGCCAGTTCTACGCTAAAACGTTAGAGCGACTCAGCTACGTTGCTCGGAGATGTGAAAAATCCACACCCCTGAGAGACATAGTTAAGCCAACCTAACCCCCAGTGTAGACAGTGGACTAACTACAGCAATGGGAGAATCCCTCCTGGCGATGTAGGTAGCAGCTACACTTAAACTGCTACAGCAGTGCAGCTGCCGCGATTCAAGTATAGATCTAGCCTTAGATGACACAGTGGGTAAAATGCCAGTGGCTCTATACTAGAGCTCCCATAAGTGTTAGCAGCATTGGAAAGCTTTACAGAAACCAGGCTTGAGTCATCCAGTCACACCCTTACCCTGACCTGTGATTTCCACTGAAATCAGTGATCTAGAGATGACAGCCTCTTTATACCATTGTCAGCTACACTGAACAAGCCATTCCCTGTTCCACGTTTCAGATAAGAAGCTATTCCCATCTTCTTCCACACAGCTACATATGCTGGTTTTTGGGCCTGTGTAAGTCTTTAAGGCAGGATGTGACATGCCCAGGGTGGATAATAATCAATTATTTAAAAAAAGGGGGGGGGATTTTTTTTTATTTAAATCGGATTTTTTTGATAAAATGCTTTTTGAGGAAAAAACCTATCTAAAGATAGTTTTAATTAAGATACATTATAGCTCAAAGATATCTTTCATATCATCATGAAATAGGGATTATAAATTCTAATTCTATAGAATTATAGAAATAGAGACAATATATTCATGTAATGTTTAAGAAAAGTTTTGTTAATGAGTTCCAATAGTTCATGGGTTAGGGACCC